TGGTACGCCCGCCGCCAGCTCAACCTGACCGAGGACCACCTCCTGCGCTACCAGTTCCTGAACGAGTTCGACCGCGCCATGCAGCTCACCGAGGACAAGTACGGCTGGCTGCACGCGCCGCAGGCGTACGTCAGCCTCAAGCACGAGGGCGACAAGGTCCTCGTCTTCGAACGCGCCGGCCTCCTCTGGATCTTCAACTTCCACCCCACGAACAGCTTCACCGACTACCGCGTCGGCGTCGAGCAAGCCGGCACCTACCGCATCGTGCTGGACAGCGACGACAAGGCCTTCGGCGGCTTCGGCCGCAACGACAAGGAGACGCGCTTCTTCACCACCGACTTCGAGTGGAATGGCCGTCGCAACTACCTGCAGGTTTATATCCCCACGCGGACCGCCTTGGTAAGCTTGCTCTTGCTCCTTTCCCCTTGCCCCATCCCCACCACCCCTCACTTCTTGACTTCCTGGTGTATTCTTGGATGCTAACAAGAAATCATTGACTGTACAGGTCCTCGCGCTGGAAGACACCCTCTAAGAGCCTGGTCCCACGTCCCAAGAGGGAACGTCCCCGGCAGGGCAGCTGGCACCCTCCGGATCTAATACCTACCTATCTATCCATCAATTTTCCTAGCGATTGACAAATTCTTTGTTTCTCGATTGTTTATTTTGTTAAGCTACCCGTGTTGATATAATAGCAAAGAAGCAAGCAATGCAATAAATAGACTGAAGTATGCCTTGTGCGGTTGTAGATGATTAAGTACTGTACCGAAGAGGGAGGAAGAGGGGGGGCTGCCGCGGCCAGCGGTATTGGAGACTTGTGAGGAAAGACTAAGTAATGGAGTCATGACCCAGGCTTCCCAATGGCATGTAGTGTCCCCACTCGGGTCACAGGTGGCGGGTAGTACGGAGTAGAAAGATGGGGTAAGGGATGGAGTAGCTCACGGCTGGGGTGTCTACTGTTATTAAATACGGAGTATGGAGAGAGAGACTGCAGCAAGAAGCTACGTGGCAGGAATTAAGCGTTACAGAGATGTCATTACCATGCTAACTACGAACTGACAGATAAGCCCAACAAAAGAAAAGAGTACAATTGTCTCAGCCCGGCGGGTATGAGGCTGATGGTGGTCATTTTAACTTACTTACATGAGCACGTAGTGTAACACAAGCCGGGAGGTCTCCATCCCGGCTCGGGGATGAGGGATTGCCTCCAAGTGCTCCTGCTTCCTTTATGAATCGTTGGACTTGATCAAAATCCTTTCTCTCATAACTCCCTTTTCTCAATTCGAGTACTGTACAGGCATCGATGGAAACCGGATCATGGAAGAAAGGTAGTCCATGTCTAACAAAAAAGGAAAAGGGCGCTTAAAAACAATATTACATTTAGGCCTTGTTCTCGAGCTCGGCCAAGATCTTCTCACCCTTGGCACGGGCAGACTCGAAGTCACCAACCATGTAGAAAGCAGCTGGAAAATTAGTCAGCAAGGATCTCATGATCAACACAGGAAACGAAGATTTGACTTACCCTCAGGAAGGTCATCACCCTCTCCGCTGATGATAGCCTTGAAACTGCGGATGGTGTCCTTGAGGTCGACCAGCTTACCCTCGATACCAGTGAAGACCTGGGCGACGGTGAAGGGCTGGGACAGGAAACGCTGGAGCTTACGGGCACGCTCGACGGTAAGCTTGTCAGCCTCAGACAGTTCGTCCATACCCAGAATGGCAATGATATCCTGGAGGGACTTGTACTCCTGGAGCATCTGCTGGACACGGGTGGCGGTGTCGTAGTGGTCCTGACCGACAATACGGGCGTCGAGCATACGGGACTTGGAGTCGAGAGGGTCGACGGCAGGGTAGATACCCAACTCAGAGATACCACGGGACAAGACAGTGGTGGCGTCCAAGTGAGCGAAGGTGGTGGCGGGGGCAGGGTCAGTCAAATCGTCAGCGGGCACGTAGACGGCCTGGACGGAGGTAATGGAACCCTTGGTGGTGGTGGTAATACGCTCCTGCATACCACCCATGTCGACGGCCAGGGTGGGCTGGTAACCGACGGCAGAGGGGATACGACCCAGAAGGGCAGACACCTCAGAACCGGCCTGGGTGAAACGGAAAATGTTGTCAATGAAGAGCAGCACATCCTGACCCTCCTCGTCACGGAAGTACTCGGCGATGGTCAGACCGGTAAGGGCGACACGGGCACGGGCACCCGGGGGCTCGTTCATCTGACCGAACACAAGGGCGACCTTGGATTCACCCTCGAGCTGAATGACACCAGTCTCCTGCATTTCGTGGTACAGATCGTTACCCTCACGAGTACGCTCACCGACACCAGTGAAGACGGAGTAACCACCGTGGGCCTTGGCGATGTTGTTCTGCAAGGTGGATTAGTCCATGTTCCCGGGCGAAATTCGAGGCCAGACAAGAACTTACGATCAACTCCTGAATGAAGACGGTCTTACCGACACCGGCACCACCGAAGAGACCGATCTTACCACCACGGGCGTAGGGGGCAAGGAGATCGACGACCTTGATACCAGTGACGAGAATCTCGGCAGTGGTGGACTGCTCAGTGAAGGCAGGAGCCTCAGTGTGGATGGGACGGAACTTGTCGGCCTTGATGGGACCACGCTCGTCAATGGGGTCACCAGTGACGTTGACGATACGGCCGAGAGTGCCAGGGCCGACGGGGATGGTGATGGGAGCACCAGTGTCACGGGCGGCAGCACCACGGGTCAGACCCTCGGTACCTGGGAACAGACGCGTTAGGGAACCAGCACGACAGATGTTGACACCGAGCCCACGCATTGGAAGGGATAACGACGAAGGAGGAGGTCGAGTATCGAAATCTTTCCACGGTGGCTGGTGGTGCAAGGTAGGTGAAGCTTACCGTCCATGGCAATAGTACGAACGACATTCTCACCCAAGTGTTGCTAATGCTGGGGTTAGCTATCAAAAGCTTTGATGTGATATATATGTCGAGCTGGCAAGTGGTAGTGGTGGTGGTGGTGGACATACAGCAACCTCAAGCACGAGCTTCTGGCCGTTGTTCTCGGTCTCAATGGCGTTGAGAATGGCGGGGAGCTTCTCGCCGTCGAACTTAACTGTAGTCGAGAGTCAGAGATTGAGTTCTTTGATGGCCATTGAGTCGTTTTTGATGGAATTGGGGATGGTATCGCGGTCGGAAAAGATTTTCGCGTAGCCGCCGGCAGGGTTTTTTATTTTTTTTTTTCGGCAGCGGGAAGGCAGGGAGCAAGTTGGAACATACCGTCAACGACGGCACCGATGACCTGGTGAATCTTGCCAACGGAGGAAGCCTCAGTGCTGGCCAGACGGGCAAGGGAGGGAAGACCGTTGGTCTTGGGCTGGAAAGCGCGACGGGCAACGGGGGTAGGCCGAGCAAAAGCAGCCCTCCCGAAGGTCCGGGCAAGACCGCTGTGGAAGAAGGAACAAGCCCAAGGTTAGTTCAAGGTTCTTTGATCATTGGGAAGGATGGAACAACAATAGGAAAAAGAAAAGTAATGGTGGGGGATGGGAGGAAGGTCTAAGCTGGGGGGGGTATGGACAGGGTCTGGAGTAGTAGTAGTATACCTCTTGAACATGATGATGGTGTTGAAGAGCGAAATGGGTATAGAGGGAGGTCAAAGGGGAGGATGGGGGAAAGGGAAAAGAGAGGGAGAAAGAGAGGAAAAGGGAAGGGAAGAGGTTGAGAGAGAGACAGAGAGGAGGTCAGGTTCAGTTGAGGTGGAACCCACGCTTGGCCGATTGTGTCCGGCTTAGCCTTTCCGGGGCGGTTTTGCCGACGATCCCGTGATGTACCGAGCAACGCGCTTTTGTGTGTGTTTTCTGGCCAGTTGTACAGTACAGTATGTACTGGACGGGTATTGTTACTTACCGGAGGTGCATCAATTACGCATGCATGCATGCATACAGAGTCGCAGACTGACTGGCTGCTGTGCAGACCAGCTGAGGTAGAGAGGGCAAGTAGCTCCGATGTATACTATACACAAAGGTACATGTATGAGAACATGTACCTTAAGTTACCTGGTCCATTCAGGCTAATCCAATCCATTTCCTCCTTCTCCTCTTTTCACTACCTTGACTCTCCGTACTAACTACCTAGTAACCATCCATGCTCATTGCTCTTCCCGTCCGTCCGAGTAGCCCAGCTGCGCACCTGGCAACCAAGAGCGAACCCAAACCGTGCCCTGAGTTGGGGTAACAATCCCAATCCATCGGGGGCAGTTTCGCACACAAAATGGGGGATCGGACTTGGCACCAGCCCGGATACTATCCATTAACTTACCAACTGGAACCCCGGCCAGCCCCCCCATCCCCCCCCCTCTTTCATTGCCCTTCAACGATGGATATATACTTCCTACTTTATGTTTAAATACCAATAAGCTTGATTCTGTTTTACAAACAAGTATTCTCAATTCTCTCATTGTCATCTACCACCTTCATTCATCTCATCCAACTTCCCAAAACCTCTCCCCTACATGTAGTTATGTACCTTGAAAAGCAAGTGGTTGCTCCGACAACATAACAAGACATGCACGCATCCATCCATCCATACAGCCAGAAAACAAGCGACGGTATCGGACATACCGCATCCGCAACGAAAAAAAAAAATCTGACGTGTTCCCGTGATTTCCCATTCCGGTTTTCTTCCTTTCAATTTCAACCCATCTCTGTCGCCCCAAGCTCCTCGGTCTAGCGGTGTCTCGAAAAGCAAGCTCGATCTTAAAATTGATACGACAACGACGGACACGTAGGGGAACAATTAAAGCTCGTGGTTTCCTAGCAACCTAGACCGATGGATGAGGCTGGGAAATCCAAAAAAAACTCAATTGCATGCAACCCGATAAAATATCGCTTAGCTTTGTACTCGTCCGTACCGGTCTTGTTGTAACAATGACGTTTCCAGTAGAGCCGCACATATTTTACATTACTGGGTACTAGGTAGGAGCTCAAAGCACCTACCAACCCAGCTAGTGGTAGGAGCCGTCTTCCCTCAAATCTGATATCGGGTTTCTTGGTTCACCTGTAGCCATTGAGTATACACATGTGGGAAAAAAAGCCCTTCCAATTTTATATAATATAACTTATTCGGCAATTGGACAACCTGATGGCACTTGCACAGGTACTGTACCTTAGACACAGAAAAACCAAAACTAAAAAGGAAAACCAAAAACCCCGATCTAAGGCTACAAAGGAGATACATTGATTATGGCACAGTACGAGGTACAGAGGGGTCTTTTTGGGCTTGACGTTTGACAAACAAAACATGTGCGAGAGCAGGTGTCCAAGCTGGATGGATGGTCACCCATCCGCCATGATCAGAGGGTGCGTATCGGAGCAGGCAGGAGTCGGGTTAACCATCAATCAAGCCAACGCTGCCGCCTGCAACTCGTCCAATCGTTCTACCTTCAATCCCGAGGATTTGTCCGGGAATTTATTGCTTCTCAGCGGGAGGGCTCTGGACGAAGCCCTTGCCCTCATAACCCTCGGAGCTGATGCCGTAGATGGGGTTGATCTTCTCGCGCTGTTGGGTGGAAAAAACCAGATCAGTAATTGTTCGTATAGATCAGGGATCCCTCCTTTCGAAGAAGAAAAGGGGGGTACAAAGGAGCGCAGAATGCATATGAGGGACTTACGAGAGCGTATTCGTTGCTAGCCTCCTGCCACTCCTTGCTCATGGTCTTGGGGAGGGGCTTGGCGAAGTAGTGGACGGCGTAGAAGAGACCGACGCCAATGGAGCAGTACTGGAGGACCTTGACGAAGATTCTGAAGGCCTCACCCTTGGGGGGCAGAGTGCGGGGACCGTGGTTACCGAAAGAGATGAAGTAGGCTATATTGTGGGGAAGAACAGAACCCGTCAGCAAAATTCTGTCTGCGCCAGCCAGCAACCAGAAAAATGCCATCTCAGGCGGACTGAGAGAACATACCAGCCTTCTTCTCCTGGAGGGTCAACTGGTGCCAGTCAGCCTGCATGCGGTCTCTGAGCTGCATCCACAGGTCGGCCTGCTCCTGGGGGGGCATGGCCTCCCAGCGCTTCTCGATACCGGCGAGTGTGGGATTCGAGATGGCATGCTCGGAAGCGGCGCGGGTCTGCTGGGAAGCAATGGTCTGCTTCTCAGCCTGGGGACGAGCGTTCAGGCAAGCCATTGGGCTCGAGGCCGTGCGGTAGGAGCGAATGGCAGCGGTGGGCATGGCCGAGCTGCGAGCAGCGGCCCGAGAGATGGACTGAGCGAACATTGTGTGCGATGGATGACGGGGCGTCTGGCGATCAATCAACGGTAAAAATCAACTCTCCAGGAGTAAGAGGAGCGATTCCTCGATAAAGGAGGATGGTGGACGTTGGGGGTGGTGGAGTGGAGGGGTGACGAAAGAGTCGCGATGGGGGGGGGACGAAGACGTTCGATGATCTGTGGTTTGAGGTGGAAAGTCGAGTATCCGGACAGGCTAGCTTAGTCCATTTTACCACCACTCTCATTGGCCTGTGACCAAAACCCGTCCCGACCGCCCGTCCGCCTTTGCCCGTCTGACTGAATCCCTCTTGTCCCCCAAGAACTAAGAACATCAGGCGATGTCCATGATATTGATAAGGGGTTTCACCCGTGATCATGATTGTTTTCTTGGCTTGGCGCTCTAGTGCAGGTTTATTCTACTGAATACTATGACTAGTAACGATACTCTTGTATCCTGGACTGTCGGAATTGAAGGGAACTCGGAATTCTATTTCTTCCGCACGCTCAAGAGAGCCGGTAGCTACGTCAGTCACATCCCTAACCTCAACAATATTACTTGACAACTTTACAACGCCATCGCAAGAGAAGGGAGAGAGCACGATCTTCGACTTTTGATGACCCGGATGTAATTCCGAGTGTTGACTTTACACCCACCGCGCCAGTCCTTCTCCATGCTGGCCAACAGTAACCTATTCTGTACACGCGAACGCTGAACAAACAAGCACGAATAATCCCTGCCCAGTCGGTGTCAACCCCACAAATTGCCGGAATCGCTGAAGATTATACGGTAACTATGTATAGGAAAAGAGAACAAAGCAGAGTCAGGTCGTAACAATCTCATATTGAACTAAGAGTGTGTCAGGAGACTCGGAGAGAACTGCTTCGTTCCTGGTTCCGCCGCGATTCGAGATGATGCGTTGCGATGCAACAACCAGCATAGTTACCCTGGTCCGGACCCAGCCGGCACCGTCATTTATTTACCAGCCTTGCCACCGCTGGCCTCGGCCAGGACGGTCTTCCACTCAATGTCGGACTTGTCGTCAGCGTGGATGGAGTTGTGGATGTTGAGGGCGTTCTTCAGGTTTTCACGGGTGCTGGCGTAAATCATGGACCACTAGGGAACCACCGTCAGTATTCGAAAGTCCGTCGGCCACCAGAAAACAGGTTACGATTGGAAACATACGAGAGTGGGAGCGTCGCTGGGGACCCAAGAGATGAAGATGATCTTGCTTCTGTATCGAGGGAAGAGAAAGTTAGCAAATCTATGCTTCGGCGGACCCGCAAGGAGCGCAGGCGATCATCATACCTCTTGCCCTCACCGCCGCCGAGCTCGTATTCCACATCGTAGACGGCGTAGCGGGGAGCGGGGTTACCCTTGCTGTCCTTAGCAGCTTCGAGCTTGCTGCGGAAGACCTCGTAGTCCTCGTCCTTGGAGGACTCGTCGATGACGACTTCCTTCTTGTTGTCGGCGATCTTGAAGATGATGAACTTGGTCTTGTCTGTCTTGGAGCCTCCGCTCATGCGGAAGTCGTTGAATGCATTGATGCACTCATCCGCGATGGAAACACTGTTTAGGCACGGCGATGTCAGCTTGGTCCCAGAGACACCGAGCTCCCCTCCACTCCCGACGGAGCCAAGTATCAACATACCCAGATGCGAGCTAGAAGATAGTGAAGGGATCAGCTTAGTTCGGATGATAGCCAACCAAGAGAAGAATGTACTGACCGACATGATAGATTATAGTTCTAGAGTTGAGATGGGGGAAGTGGGCTAGTGGATAACCTGCGCAAGCACGCGATGTCAGTTGGCCAGATTCCCCTATTTGTCCTCTTTCGTCACAGCACGGTCGGTGACTGCAGTAAGAAAGCACCGAGCTGAGGAGGAACTGAAAAGGCGACTTACCGAACACTGAAACAACCTACTAAGGTAATGTTCGAGAAAGGCGGAAGAAATTGGGAGAGAGAGGGTGAGGGGGGGGG